TAATTCTGTTGATAATAGTCATTTTCGTGGAGGAATGATCAGTTGGAGACGAGCAAATAATCAAAAATCTATATTAAATACAATGAATACAATCATTATTGATCAACGATATGCATGGTCTAGAAGTGCTGCAGCTAGTGCATGTACAAGTTCAACAATTTCATCATTTGGATTGATTGGTGAAGCTACTGTATCTGTTCTTAAATGTAAATCATCTCTAACTACATGTACAAGTGCACAATATACAACTGATATTTCTACTTATGTTCCATGTACTGATTATAATACAGCTTTAGGAATGTCATTTGGTTATAGTTCAACAACAGTAAATCTTACTGTTAAATCAACAGGTATTGTTATTGGATATGTTGTTGGTGGTGCATGGCTTACATTACAATTAAGTAGTGGTGGTTGGAGTATGATGACATATATAAATTTAAAACCACGTCAAGATAATGAATTAATTAATAGTTCACCAACATCGAGTATATCACCAATAGTTTATGTACCTGTTAGTTCTAATCAATCAACTTCAATTGATATACCAATGAATGATGTTGATGGTGATAATATTGAATGTCGTTTTGCAAAATCATCAAATATATTAGGTGGAGTTACTGTTGATGAATGTAGTGGTGTATGTAAACCATTAGCATTACCTACATCAACACAATTAATATCAGGCAATAATACATGTACACTTATTGTTACTTTACCTACAATTGGTTATTATGCAGTAGCAATTCAATTAGAAGATTTTATTGAAAATACAACAACATTTCTTAGTTCTGTTTCATTACAATTTCTTCTTCTTACATATGATGCATCAAATCCAACATCAACTTGTACAAGTATACCTATTATAACAAGTATTCCACCAGATTTACCATTACCAGGTGATACAATTACTGTTCAAGTAACTGTTCTTTATACAGCAATGGTTATTGCACAAAGTGGTTGTGATAATGATACAGATACAAGTATAACAAATTTTGTAACATCAAGTCCACCTGGAATGTTAAAATCAAATCTTCCATTTGCTGTAACATCTACATCTTATGCTATAAGTCTTACATGGACACCAACAATTGCTCAATTAGGTCAAACATACACATTTTGTGCTTTAGCCATTGATAGTAATTATTATTCATCAAATCAATATTGTTTTTATCTTTATGTTGGCCCTAAAACAACAACAACAACTACAACAACAACAACAACATCAACTACAACATCAACAACAACATCAACAACAATATCAACAACATCATCAACATCAACATCATCCACATCAACCACTTCAACAACAACAACTTCAACAACAACAACAACAGATACAACAACAACATCAACATCTACGACATCTAGCAGTATTGTATTTGATTTTATTTAATTGATTATTTAATTATATTTGTTTAGTAACAACTATTGCACCATATGATTGTATTCCATTACTTATCGGATTAAGTCTTGGTCTTGGATTACCATTATTATTTTTATTAAGTTTTCTAGCATTATCTTATTTATGTCGATGGTGTCCGAATCCTTTACGGTAGATTAGAATGTTTTTTTTTTTAGTCTGTGACAAATATAGAAATGAAATTTTTAATTTAGATCAATACTTCGATCTCGTTATGGTTATGAAAAAGATATACATTGTAAATATTGTCAACAATCCGTTGTTGATAATGATTATCAACAATTACATAAAGCAAAATCTACTCTATCTGAAGATACACATCAATATCGACAACAATATTTGCAAACTAATAATAATCAATCATCAAATCTACCGATAGACTCATATTTAGAACGTGAATATATATCATTACGTAATTTATCGAGTTCTTGTTCAAGATCAACATTATCTACTCCAATACAACCAACAATAACAACATTAGTTTCACCTTCAATAAATATGCTTCCAACTGAAAATCTTTCACGTACTCTATCATCATTATCTCATTCAAAACCACGACATTCTAATTCTATTCTATCACGACTTTATTTAAAACAAGTTCAACCAATATAAATATGAACTAAAAAAATTTATTAACATTAATATTTCATACCTCTTTTTTTTTTTCTTGTATCCATAGAATTATTGAAAATAAATGAATATATAAAAATTTAATATATCTAAAAGACTTCAATAAATAGTTATTAGTTTTAAATTACAAAAGAAATTTTTTAACAATTTTCTACGAAGTGATAGTGTTAGATGATTTGATTCTAACCTTGAAAATTTTCTCATAAAATTATTTAAATAGTTTGAGATTATAGAAATTGATTGTATTTTTTTTAATAATAGATTTGTTTTGAATGCATGAATTTTAATGGTAGAATTTAGTGAAAAGTATGTTCTTAAGATAAATTTCTAAAGATAGTTCTCATATAATAAATTCAACATCAAAGGCAAATATCATTTTACAATATTTCAATGAGTTCCAATATCATGCTATTAGTTTTCAACATTTTATTCTAACTCTTAAAACTATTTTCTATGAATTGTTATACAAACAGATGCAAGATAAGTATTTTATCGTTTAAACCAATATGTCTTGTCTGAAACTACATTTCGTGGAATTCACATAGATTTCCGAAGAAAATACTGAATGTAAGTTTTAAGTCAAAATTTTCCGACTTACTTCTCCATTACAAATCTTAGCTACTGGAGTCAAAGATTATTGAACAATTTGTAAGAAAATAATTGAACTGAAAATTCTATTGAGTGTTTTAGATGATGTTCTATAAGTCTTTAAATATTTGTCTGATAGAGCAGTGTCACAATTCAAAGAGAATAATAAAAGTTTTGGTCTTATGTTTATAGATGTAAGCCAATGAATTAATTGATAGCGTTCATCTTTAATTATATTGTAATGAGAAATCACAACATCATCGAGTAAGTCTTCAGCAGTCAAGTGTATTTTCATCTCTAACTTTGTAAAGAATTCAACAGTGCATCTTTAATGACTTCTTCATGTAGAGATTTGAGCAAAATACTCAATGTCACCATCATTTTGACTCACGTGGTAAATCTATTAGAAGGGTATGGGTGTTTGGTCATTTATTCTTATTCAACATCCATATCCACCCTCAACTTATGTTCAAAGATAAATATAATTTCTTTTTTATCATTTGTAATTATAACTTAATTTTTTAGATGTAGGTGTTGGTGTAGACCTTCTCAACACATACAGATCAACATCCACATCTCGACAATGATGGAATGCTTTGAAAATTTCATTAGTGATAGAGTTAATAAAGTTATATCATCAGATGCATTCTGTCAGTTTTCTACCATGCGAAAAATAAATCAACTTTAATAGGCATTCATCTCTATGCTAATGCCTTCATAAAATATGATTGAACATGCTGGCGTTTTTTTATAGGTTATATTTTTACGACAGATGAAATAGTTTGGGTGCCAGATACGAAATGCACACATCATATTGGCATCCATATGCTCGACATCTACACTGCAACCATCGAATAAAATGATCTTGTCTGTAGTTCAGATCAACTAATCTTATTGAAACGTCTCTTCTATCATGCATCTGTAGCTCCTAGATGGGATCCCGAAAGATGCGCACGGCGAAAGTTGCGCACGGAAAGATGCGCACCGAAACTTGCGCACGACGAAACTTGCGCACGGAAAGATACGCACGAGAAAGTTGCGCACGGCGAATCTTGCGCACGCGAAAGTTCCGCACGTGAAACTTGCGCATGCAAAACTTGCTCACGAATTGTCTAATAAACAGTTTTACTTCGATAGAAAAAAGTTAGAAAAAACACAAACAATTTATAGTTTTATTTATTTCTTAGAATCTTAAATTGAAATATTTAGATTTATGAATACGACACAAAAAACAAGAGTTGATGATACCGTCCATAAAAATACATACAATATTACTAGGGTGTGGGGTGTGGGTGGGTATGGGTGTTGATCTAATGGGTACCTACCCACACCCACATCCCATCCTCTTTTTATTTCATTTAATAGTGATATGGAACAAGACGGTAACAGAAATGAATAGTCTGGATTGATGACCGATTTCCGTATCACTATTCAATGAAATAAAAAGAACGGACTAGTCTATGTTTTTTGTTTTTGCTTCTTTATAAATGTTTGTGAGTATATAAATATATCGTGCGCAAGATTCGTCGTGCGTAACTTTCTCGTGCGCATCTTTCCGTGCGCAAGTTTCGTCGTGCGCAACTTTCTCGTGCGCATCTTTCCGTACGCAAGTTTCGTCGTGCGCATCTTTTGGTGCGAAACTTTCGCCGTGCGCATCTTTCGTAGACCGCTCCTAGATGCGAGTTGTGCGCTATTATTAATCCGCCGAATATTTGTCAAAAACGAGAACCTATTTGTATTTATCAAGAAATGTAACATGTACTTTTGTGACTGGTGCATAATAGTGTCGACTCAACCTTTCGAATGAGAACGCAAGAAAAAAAACGAATAAAACGAAAAATAAAGTCAACATAACATATCTACGCATGTAATGCACTCTCCATTAAATCTTTGCATCACATATTTCGTCTTGTAGGCAGTTCGAAAATGTTTGCTCTCCTATTTTGTTTTTTCATCGTCTTATGGGTGCTATACATAAAATTCAAATATTTTACACTTCGTGGTCCAGTTCCTGGTTTGTCACCACATTTCTTTTTTGGAAATTTGATTCAAACAGATTTATTGTTTGGTAAAAAAACAATGACTGACGTCTACATATCATTCAAGGAACGTTTCGGTGATATTTATCAATTTTGGATTAGTTTTACTCGTTACGTTATCGTAAATAATATTGATGATGTTCAATACATTTTTACTCATCGAAATATTTATGATCAAGGAGAGGTATTTTTAGATAAATTTAGCCTTTTTTTTCCCGATAGTATCATTTGTAACATAGGTATGACTATTTTTTCTAGTTATGACAATAATTTGTTCATTATGATTTGTAGGTCCCAAATACAAGCGACATAGTGCACTTACAATGCCACTATTTCGTCGTAACAAAGTTATTTCGAATATAAACATAATTATTGATGGTACTGACAAACTATTAGATAGATGGCGTACTATACCATCTGGACAAATAGATACAAATATTATCGAACAGTGTCAAAATCTTCTACTTGAAATTTTTGGACTCATTGCTTTTGATTATGATTTGGAGACACTTGATAACAATCATTTAAGAAATAAGAATGAACTGACTAAAGCTTTACAAGATATTATAAATATATTTAGAAAGATTATTAATGCACCTAGATTCATTTCAATTATTTATTTGAAATTGAGTCCTCAATATCAACGAGCACAGGCAACTGTCCAGAAATATCTTACTAAGATGGTTGAAGAAAAAATGTCTGAAAGTCCAGATTCAATAGCCGAACAAAAGAAAACATCATTGATCGCATCATTGGTTAGTTCATTACAAACAGATGAGAAAGCCGAAGCAAAAAAAAAGGAAGAAGATAAAAAAGGTAAAGTTTAACCATAAAACGCTTTGATTAGATCATCGTTTCCAATAAATGACCAAAGATTTGTATGCGAAACGAGTACATCTTTATTACAATATAATACAAATTATATTAGTACAAAATATGAAATATTCTCTCGAGTCGCTGATCGAGATGAAATTTTCAGAGTAGATCGTTAGATAAAAAAAATTAACACAACAGAGTTTCAATGACAAACAGTTACCTTTGTAGAATATGCGTTCAAAATTGAATTATGACTAAAGTTTATCTTGATTGTTTCGCATTCTTTTACTTCTGTCATTTTCCTATTGATAGGTTTATCACGAAAAGAAATTTTTGATGAGCTACTTTTGTTTATGATTGCTGGTTATGAAACGACGTCAACTGCTCTTTCGTGGTCTATTTATCAGCTAAGTAAAAATCCAAGAGTTCAACAAAAAATCAAAACAGAGTTGATGCAAAATAATTGTGATCAATATATATCATTGGATCGTCTCGATTCACTCATTTATTTGGATTGTTTTATTAATGAAGTACTTCGTCATTCTCCAACAACTGATGGAACAGGACGTACAGTGATGAGCAACGACTGTTTACCCAATAGTGGTACTCAACTCTACAAAGGTGACCACCTGATTATTCCGACATCTGCTCTTGCTCGAGATTCTCGTCATTGGAAAATCGATCCTAACTTATTCTATCCAGAAAGATTTCTTAATGAAGATAAAAATTATCATCCATATGCATTCCTACCATTTGGAGGAGGTCATCGTCAATGTCTTGGACAAGAGTTGGCTCGATTCGAACTCAAAGTAATTCTAGCTCGTATGCTGCAACAAGTAACATTTGGTGATGGTGGTCCTGAAGTCAATGCCGGTGGATCTATTCAATCATTGACTATCATGCCAAAACATGTTGGTGTCACTATTGAATTCAATTGATGCATGAAAATCCATATTCTTTTCTATCACTTCTACTTTTAAATATTTATTTGAATAAATAAAAATTTTGTTCGATAGAATGATAAAGAATATTGTAATAATGACAAATTTTAGCACTTGAAAAGATAGATGAATTGAAAAATCGTCGAAACCGAGTATTTGTAGCAATGTTCAGATTTTCAATAAAG